AGCCCCAGCCCCAGCCGCAGCATGTAACTGAGCGGGGGCTCGTGTTGTCCCCTCGCCCCGCGGCCGGAGGCGACGCGGGCAACTTTCCCTGCGGGTGGGAGGGTGGGTCAGGAGCCGCGGGAACAATGACAGAGGAGAGCAAAGGGGAAGGGAAAGGGGAGAGCGGGAAGGACCTGGAGAAGCAGCTTCGCCTGCGGGTCTGCGTCCTGACCGAGCTGCTCAAGACGGAGCGGGACTACGTGGGCACCCTGGAGTTCCTCGTGTCGGTGAGCGCGGGCGGGACGCGGGGCACTTGCTGCAGGCGGGGCAGCCCCGAGGGCGCGGAGGGGGCTGGGGCTCATCCTGGCGGGCTGAAATCAGGGGTGGGGGGCGATAAAAGCCCCCGCTGTGGGAGGCGGCGGTGGCGTGGGCGGATGGATGGGCGCGTGGCGTGGAGCTGTGGCTTTGCGGGGGAGAGCGCGACCCCCCTCCCGGGTCCTAAATGGCTGTCCTGGATGTCCCAGGGGCACGTCCCGGGCGCGATGCTCGCTTCAGCTACGCTTCCCTCCGCTTCGGGAGCCCCTTGCTCCGCGCCCAGCGAGGCAGTTCCTGGACACCCGGCTCTGGGGCAGGGGTAACAGCGCGAGCAGAGGGGCTGCAGCAGCTGTTCGGTATTAAAGCCACATGTGGCCCCGTCTCCCTCTCCCCGCGCTCAGTCTTCATTGCAGCCCTTTGTAAGGCGCCGCTCGGGGGGGGAGAGGGCCGCGGTCTGCTGCAATAACGCATCTTGGAGAGTGTTTTGGAGCAGTTGGGTTCAGCTCCATCCCGGTCTTTACATCCGTGTCAATAACAAGCTGTATTAGCCAGTACCAGGTAGTAGCAGAAACTATTGCTTCCTACTAATGTTGCCCTTTGGTAGACCTAAAAAGAGTATTGTTGTCTCTAGAGAGTCAAACGTCTCTTTCCTATTTGCCCACAGTATATCAGTGGCATCACTTGAGCTCTCTTTGGGATAAACAGATCTCAAGGCATCGGCTTGGTTTTGCACGGGGTCTCCCATAATAGTCCTGGCATTCTTCCCTCCTCCCCCATCCTGTCTGGGGGGAAATCTTTCAAACAGCAAACTTCCTGCTTAGCTTTCTGAGATCTGAACTTTCTGCTTATTATCATGGAAGAGGAAATTCTCAGCTTGGTGGAGGCAAGAAGAATAGAAGCTCTGACCCCATAGTGAAATCAGCCCTGCAAGAGTAGCCTTCCCCCCCTCCCACTTTTATCCTTAACATCACCCTGAAAAACAATAAGCCTGTAGTTTGCTTTCTTCTTGCATCTGAATGCTGTAGTTGTTTCAATTAATTGAGATTATGGCTCAAACTGTAAAACTGTATTAGATTGTGCTTCCATTTAACAGCCATGCTGTGCTTGCTGATAAAAATGTTGATTTTAAATATGGAGTATCTGAAAATTGGTTTTCAGGGCCAAATTTGACCTACCTCAGATTATAATGCCTAAATTTACAAAAATGTTCAGTTATTTGAATGTTTCAATTTGAGAATGTCCCACTTTAGATTTATTTCAGAGTTTTAATGTTAATTCAGGCCTTCACTTTTGAGAGTTAAGAATTTTCAAGGGCTGATATGGTTTACAGGGAAAAGTTACTAACCTTTTTCTCAGTACCTCAATCATGTCCCTGAAGCACCATCTCTAAGAATAAGAGAAGAGTTCAGGCTGTATAACAATCTTCTCCATGGGTTCTCTCTTAAGATGGTTGTCAAGAGAAATGGTAGTACTGGATTTTGTTATAGGGACACCTGTGGGGTGGATGGAGAGACTAAATAATCATTGATAGTTGTGCTGACGTGATGACCTGGAAGCTGAAGCCCCTGTTCCTAGGAGTGGGATAATTTTTATATTAGACCATTATTGGTTAAAAACCAGAACCCAGGGCTCACTAAGCTACAGAGTTAGGCTCCTTCTTGCCAGTTGGCATTGTGGTCCCATGACTTCATTTCTTTTTGAATAGTGGCCTACTTTTTATCAGAAGAGGTTTTGAGGTGCCTTATCAGCATAACCTCTGGTCTGATGTTCAAGTAAATTCTCCTGGGAAGGGTGAAATGGGCATTAAAATTCCCTCAGCCTGAAAAAGGCCTATAACTTAGGTGTCCTGCTTTCTGAATGCTTTAACCACCACAGTGTTATGTGAAAGATGGGTACTTCATTTCCCTCCCTTCTTCAGCATCCTTTTTGAGTGGGCATGACTATGGGTGCATTGTTTTGTGCTGAGCTCAAAGCGGCCTTTGTGAGTTAGGTGTACTCCATGGGTAACTACTGATTCTGGCATCTCTGGGCACTTTGACAAGGTTTAGGCACCTCCTCACCTCTGATCTGGAGCTGGAGTTAGCCTAGATTCTTTAAGTGGATTGCTCTTGACCAGGCAGAGAAGCCTATGTCTAAGTGACTAGGGATCTTTTTGGACCAGAATGGAGGTACATAATGAATTTAGATGATCATGTAGATTTGCAGCTGCTGGAGTGGAGCTGATCTGGTATCCTTTTTTGACTTAGCACCTAAGTTCTGCCAAAGTTCTGCTTAGGCACCAGGGCTAGGGACAGACATTCAAAAAGCCTGAGCCTGGATTGATTCAACCCTTGCAGGTTAGTCTAACCTGGCTAGGCTAAACCAGTTTGTAACTGTACAGACATTCTCTTCAGACTGAGGAAATTGAGGCACATGCCTGCAGTGGCTCAGGCTAGAAGCTGGGGGATGCTAGAGCAGCCCTCCCTTCCCTTCAACACTGCAGAGCTGAGGGTAGGCATGGCCAGGCCCCATCAGGACCTCTGATTAGGGAGGTTTGCCTTCACCATTGCAGGCTTTTCTCTGCTGGCTGCTCAAGGAGTGGGAGTGTTGCCAGACCCCAGTGTCGGGCTACCACTCTGAGGCAAGGTGCAGGGGTGGGAGGAAGGAGTGGGGGTGAAGTGTGCAGTGCATGCATCTGTTGATGATACCTGGCTTTTCAATCTCCCTCCCTGCTTCTTTATACTGTCTGCAGCAAACTGATAGGCCAGCAAGCCAGCAGGAGGATGATAACAGTACTTATCACCCCCATTGGCAAAACAGTTAGAACAATTAGTTCAAGCTCTTCTTAAACAGCTTTTTCCAAGGAAGGAATGGAGGGATAGTACCAGCTAACCTGTTGATTAGCTCCAAAAAGCTCTAAGCGGACCCTGTTTTGTCTGGCTGTCCCAGTGAAATTGGAGACACATGCACAGACACAGACACCTCTCAGCATTAGCTAGCATACCACATGCCTAGGGTCTATGGGGCTGGGGTCTGTGCTGTTGGAGATGGGATGGATGGGAGAATCCCTGCTTGAGCACCAAGGGGGTGGGGGCAGGGGGAAGCCAGGCAGACCCTGCTGTACCTGCAGTCTCTGCCAGAGCTCTGGCCAGGGAGCAGAGGGGCAGGGCCAGCTCTGCTGTCTGGAGCAGAGAGCTGAGCCCAGAGAGCATACTGGGATGCTGGGAGAATCTGGTTTACCTTAAACCAGGAAGGGGTCTCTGACAGACATTGCATAAATCGGTTTGACCTAAATCAGTTAAGTCTAATACTACATTCACCCAGGTTTATCTTAAACCAGTTTCAGCCATTTTGAAACTGGTTTATATGGACTGAACTTACATTCTGTTACAAGTTTAAACCAGTTTCTGATTACTTAAACTGGTTTATATGTAATGTCTATCTGTAGCCCAAGGATCTGGTCCTTGTTGCTACTGAAAATTTTAACAGTTTCCACTGGAATTAATAGGAGCATAAAATATTTATCAAGATAAAAAATAAGTTAGGATGAGGTCATGAGATGAAGCCCTTTCTTGTGGGGTCCACAGAAATAGATTTTAAGCTTCATGCAAATGAAGCAGACCAACCTGATTGCCTTCTATGATCAGGTCACAAAGGCCATGGATGCAGGTGTCGCGGTGGATGTAGTCTTTCTGGACTTCAGCAAGGCCTTTGACACCATCTCTCACCCCATCCTAGTTAAAAAACTAGGCGACTGTGGCATAGATGCCTACACAGTCAGATGGATTGCAGATTGGCTGAGGGGTC